CTGGTTCCTCCCACCCCCTATTTGAGGTATACCTTCTATTGATGCTGCTGGCCCACTCATATACCATTGCATCTCTACCCCCTGCTGGAACCGGGTCCATTATCTCTCTTAAGCAAAAACTTGAGATGAGTTGCGGAAGAACACAGATGCTGGAAACCGGGTCCAGCGTCCCATCACTTTCTTTTGTGACTAACAACCCTCGCAGTGCTAGCGGCGCTGGTGGAAGCAGACGCCACTAGCACCCAACAGTGACTCAGGTCTCTGTGCCCTGAGAGCCAGGGCATTGATTGTGCAGATCCTGTGAAATACTCAGTAAAGTGGCCTTGTGTGGGCATGCAGATGCGCCAGATCCCTTTCTGTACCTCTTCATCCTTGTGAAGGGCTTCGGATAGACCGTTGCGGACTGATACTAACGGTGTCAGATAGACCGTTCCTGACTGATACTAGGGCCTGTCACTAAACAGACCCTCCACCAGACCACCCATGCCATCCTGACAGCTGTCCTAGCCTGCCCCATATCTGCCCAACCTTGTCCCTGCTATCCGCTACCAACCTGCTCTGTGCCTCCCCCACATTGCCCCTTCAATCCGCTCCATACCATTGCATGTCTACCATAGCCAGGTTGTGAGGCGGGAAAGGGCCGGGAAAATCTGATGCCGGTCGCAGTGGAATAGCCTGGCCGACAGTAGTTCAATCCTTAAAGCAGATCCGGTAGTCTCTCTTGAACTCCCCCAGGTTGCACACCTGGGTGGGCTTTCCATCCCATCTTATACCTGCGATCCATCCCCCTTCCTTGCTGCCCAGCCAGTCCCCGGAGAATTGGTGTTTTCCACGTGTTATGTCCTGTGGTGATTGGAACAAGTCAAGTTGATTTTTAACTTTCTGCCACTGTACCGTGAGTTCTTGCTGGATATATTGCTTTATCATATCTGTAACCTCTTCCCCCTCTATGCGGACATCCTCCATGGTGTGGATACAACGTTTTCTCCAGAGGGCCCACACCACTGCCCTTCTCCTTGTCTTTAACATATTGTTCTCAAAAGTGTTGTCGGTGGGGGAGGACCATGCTTCACATAGTATGGCTCTCCAATCCCATGGCCAGTTGGAGTCCGTGGCCAGCAAGGTCCAAATTATGTCCCACCATCGCCACGTGAGAACCGCCCCTGGGCACTGCATGAAAATGTGTTCTATAGTTTTCTGGATTTTGCGGGAAGGGAAAGCAGTGTGGCACGATTTGCACCACGGCAGTGCCTGTCCCTTCTGTTCCAGCTTTGTGCGCTCTATCAGCCAATTATTCGTGGGCAGGCAGCGGTGCTCGATCTGCCATTGCAGCGAGGCCATTTTTGCTGGCCTAGATCTTGTGGCGGTGAACCATCAAATGGGGCGGATTGCATCCGTTCCTACATTCAGGTGAGACCTCCACCGAGCTTTCACGGTTTCTTTTATTTTCACCTTCGGTCTCAGCAAGCGTAGGGGTCCACTGCCATTCCACGGGGGCGAATGGGAGTTCTGTCACAGGGGTCTTTGGCTGGAACGCAACCCACTTGTCTTTTTTCTTAGAGTACCCGAATCCTGAGCAATTCCATGTTTCGCTGCCATCTCGTTGCTTCCGGGCTATATCAAACGAGAATATTGTCCCTGACTATGTGGAAGAGGTTGATCAATGCTTCATCAGATCGCACTTCTACCACACTGCCCACACTTTTCGGATCCCGTGGGACTGCCACCCAATCCCCCTTCCTTAGTTGCGGCCCTCTGCGCAGGATGTGCACCCAATCGAGGGGGACTGCGAAGATCAGCAGGTCTAAATTTTCCTCAACCTTATGACAATGTTTTAATATAGTCTTTAGTTGCGGTGCCGTTTTTCGGTTCCCCTTTTCAATGTCTCATATGTCCTTCCCTATACTCTTAAAGAAGAGAAAGGGCCCAGCGTGATGCCCGGCGCTGGGCCCAGCAGAAATCGTGGAGCGTGGCGGGTGGCGCCGGGCCGAACAGGACAGGCCGCCGCCGAAAAACGACATGGAGCCGCTTGGACTCTCGCACGCTGTGGCACCCATAGGACGCGGCCGCGGGAAAAAGTAGCGGGGTGCGCATTCGCGCAGGGGCGGGCCCGCGGAAGAGAGACCAGGCCGACGGGTGGAACAAATGTTAGGCGGGCGGGGCGGGACGAAATGGCACGACGCAGGGGAGAACAGGCCAACGGGTGACGTGACGCGGGGGCCAAGGCGGGCGGGCCGGGCCGAAACGGCACCACGGAAGAGAGAACGGGCCTACGGGTGAGGTGACGTGGGGCCGGAATCGGGGCGGGTCGCATGTCGCACTCCTCTCTCTCTCTCTCTCTCTCTCTCTCTCTCTCTCTCTCTCTCTCTCTCTCTCTCTCTCTCTCGGCCTGCCCGCTCCATCTTTCGCTTCCCGTGTCGATGGAAGTAGGATCTCTCTATCTCTCTGCGTGTATGGCTGGAAAACTCTCTCTCTCTCTCGGTCTGCCCGCTCTATCTTCCACTGCCCGTGTCTATGGAAGTAGGATATCTCTGCGTGTG